TTTTAATGAAGGTGGCCAAGAGAATGATGAGGTTAATAAACACTTTAAACACACCTGTGTTCATAAGCATGAGCACAGTTGCTCAAACACTTACACTAAGTTCGGGGTTGGTAAGATTTTCCAAGGCTGCATTAATTTGATCAAAAATGCAATAACAGAAATATTGTGCAATTCTATTACAATTTAAATGAACTGTTTTTGAGTGTAATATACTGTAAAACGTAATTTATTCCTGTGATCAAAGTTGAATTTTCAGCATCATTACTCCTGTCTTCAGTGTCACATGATCCTTCAGAAATCATTCTAATATGCTGATTTGTTGCTCAGAAAACATTTGTATTATTATTAATGTTGAAAACAGTTGTGCTGCTTCACATATTTGTGGAAACTAATGCATTTAGTTTTTCATTGATTACAGCATTTAATTTATATGGAAGCCCGTTTCCGCCACTGAATAAAAAATAAAAAAGGTAACTGCGACTTTTTTCCTCGCAATTGCGAGTTTATATCACGCAATTCTGTCTTTATAACTCGCAATTTTATATATATGTTATAAAGTCAGAATTGCGAGATATAAACTCGCAATTTTGAGAAAAAAGTCAGAATTGCGAGATATAAACTCGCAATTTTGAGAAAAAAGTCAGAATTGCGAGATATAAACTTGCAATTGCGAGAAAAAAAGTCAGAATTGCGTTTTTTTTATTTTATTTTTATCTTGCAATTCTGACTTTATATCTCGCAATTCTGTCTTTATATCTCGCAATTTTATATATGCTATAAAGTCATAATTGCGAGATATAAACTCGCAATTTTGAGAAAAAAGTCAGAATTGTGAGAAAAAAGTCAGAATTGCGAGATATAAACTCGCAATTTTGAGAAAAGTCAGAATTGTAAGATTAAAAACTTGCAATTGTGAGAAAAAAAGTCAGAATTGCGATTTTTTTTCTCTCGCAATTGTGACTTTATATCTCGCAATTATGACTTTATATCTCGCAATTATGACTTTATAACTATCAATTATTATGACTTTATAACTATCAATTGTGACTATCTCACAATTCTGACTTTATATCTCGCAATTATGACTTTATAACTATCAATTATTATGACTTTATATCTATCAATTATGACTTTATAACTATCAATTGTGACTTTATATCTCGCAATTCTGTCTTTATAACTCGCAATTTTATATGTTATAAAGTCAGAATTGCGAGATATAAACTCGCAATTTTGAGGAAAAAGTCAGAATTGCGATTAAAAAAATTTTTTTTTTTTTTTTTTTTTTTTTTTTTTTTTTTAATCTCGCAAATCTGACTTTATAACTCGCAATTCTGACTTTATATCTTAATATATAATTGCAAGATAAAAAGTAGCAATAACCTTTTTTTATTTTTTAAGTGGCAGAAATGGGCTTCCATACATTTATATACAATCACATAAATTTATTTTTTGTCGCTTTTGATCAATTTAATACATCCATGCTTAATCAGTGCTAAAACGTGCCGACCCTAACCTTTTTTAAACTGATCATTAGATGTTAAATTGCTTATTTTAATTGATTTTAAAGATGGCACAAGCATACTTCACAAACGAATCATTTAACATATAGCAAGTTTGTTTGCTTTGAAATGATATAGCATGTGACAAACTGTTATTAAGCTCCTTCATTTGTTGTGATTGTTCCTCAGGAAGGTGTAAACTGTTTGATGGAGCTGGTTCTACACGACATGCTAGACTGCCTTCAACTACCTATAAGAATCGTAACGTTTTTTTTTTATGTGACAACCTGAAAAAGACTCGTGAAACTTCACTGAATTCCAGCACACCATCCTTCTTTCCTGAACCTGATTTTTAATCGGTTCTCAATGTGTAAATATTTAATTATGCAGTTCTTTTCTGCCAGAAAACAGCTGGATTATATTCTGATATTTGTTTTGAGCTTTGGTTTGGTTTCTGACAGGTTACCATTGGGGGGTGAGGACTTCTTTTATGGATGTGCTAATTTGATGAAACTCGATAGCAAAATGCTTCTTTTGTAAAGTTAATGTGAGCACAGAAAGAAAACGAGACATCTCTTTTGTAACACCACTCTGCATCCCAGGCTCAAGCTGTATACTGTTGCATGACAGATCATATGAAATTGCTCGCTCGCTCCAAATCACGGCGTGACATTCCCTCACGTGTCTCACTCTCTCTACTAGCTTGACGTTGACACCGTCCAGAATCGACTAACGTGTAAAATATTTATATCCGCCCTCACATTTCTCCTTCCTGTTGCTGTACCATCCCTTCTTTAGCGCGATGTCTGTGCCTTGTTTTCACTGTCTGTTTTTATTCACGCTATTAAATGAGAAGTGTAAAGTGTTGAGCACATTTTAAGAGCTAAATAAAACTTAGACCACAGTTTTTGGGTTAATATCTAAATACCATAAAAGGTTTCGTCAGAAATAAAAGTTAATATGTAAGACAGACTTGTGCTCCTTGTGTCTTTTTTATTCTATGTCTCTTGCTGCAGAAAATTGTTTTTTGCTGATGCTGGTAACCCTGTTTATGGTTGTATTATTATTATTATAATTTTTTTTAAATGTGTGCCGTTTTAATTTATATTTATTATACGCTTCTGCATCATCATTTCACGGCCACGTGATGGCGCTAGAGAAACATTTTGTGTAAATAATGAAGTCAAAATGACTTAAAATCCCGCTGACAAAACTATTTCTTAAGATCCTTGCATTACATACAAAACGATCAAATAAAGCATTAAAAAATACGAACCCGACCTATAATCTAAATTTAAAAAAAAGAAAAGTTGTCTTGTTTTAGACCGAAATGTTTCTCGTGTAAACCAGTATGTTATACATATCAAAATAAATGAATAAAATAGGCTATAATTACATTGGCAATATGTATTATTTCAACGCTTTTTAATTTATATTTTGTTATAAATAAACATTATTATTATTATTATTATTATCAAATCAATAAGCTGAATCAATCCGTTCTCTCAGGTGTGAAGCGTTTGTTCTTCGCTCACGTTTCACTTCTCGCTCTTTGATTG